AAAGAAACTATTCGTGTATCACTCACTTGTTTTCTGTACTGATACATTTATAAGCTTCATTGTATTGGATTTTGTTTCCCGTTTCGTTTCAAAATGTTCAAACGAAAGTAGCTTAGGTGGAACACCAATTTCCCCGACTGTACCTCGCTTTAGTACAGTCTAGGGTTGTAACGGAACTCCACTCATCCGCAAGTGCGGAACTTCAGCAAGAATTATTATTTCTTAAGCGGAGTTATAACGGCGGTTAATTTACGTCTTTAACGCGAGTGGAGCGATTAGGTATCGTTTATGCGGCCCGCGCAGGCGTGATATGTCAACTATAATTGTTCTACATTACATTGGCATAGTAAACTATATCTTGTAATAATACCAATCAGTATTTTGGTATAACGTAGTTTTAGTTTTGATTTCTTTAATAAATCGCAATAAATATTTAATTATTGACCTCCGCTTCTGCAGAAGTGAAGCTCTTTGTTTCCGCAACCGCTTCCGTTAAAATGGCCTCCGTACAACCCTAGTACAGTCCACTAGAATATCAGTTACGTATAAAAAGCAACGGTTTACTATCAAAATGAACGAATCTGCAGATTGAATGACGTAATCCTCTGGAATGAATTCATCGCGAGCAAAAGCTCTGTAGATACGAAAAACGGCTTATAGACTCGTATATGCATAAATGTTAATCCAGTTCTAAAATAAAAGTAACTAGTTGTTGCTCGCAACTTTGCCCGCGTGAAATTAAGAAAAAAAATGCCTATATTACTCACAGATAAATTACCTTTCTAATGGTGAAAGAATTTTTGAAATTGGCCCAGTAGTTTTTACGTGAATCGAATACATAAAAAACTCAAAAATACAAATCTTTCCTCTTCATAATATTAGTACAGATATAACCTAAGGAATAGGTAGGCAGGTACCAGAATTCGCTAAAATAGCGACGTCATCGCTGCCAAGACATCCCCATTCACGTACGTTGTTTACTTTTAATAAACACAGAAGAGAACAAACAAAAAGTTTTTCCTCTTCCATGCGTCCCCTCCTCTGCCAAATCAAAGTCCCTTCTCTTCCTTTTAAAATTCAAAAGGGTAAAAGACTTTAGACTCCTGCACGATTAGTTTAAATACTTATTTGCTTAAGAAAAATAACTTTTGTACCAGTTTACTTAAAACGGGGGAGTTAATATCATGTTATCCTAAGCTAAGCTTAGTTGGGTTATAAGTTAAGTTAAGCACCAAGTTGCAGGACTGGGTGTAATTACAGTCGTACCAACTTCGAAACGGAAACCTCGGTTTTCATCAGCTAAGTGCTAACTTTAAGTAACTTAGTTCTGCTTAAAGTGTATTCAATTTCTTTACAAGTTTGTTTTAACTTATCGTTTATGTTAACAGTAAAGTTTTTTAGGTTATTTTTTAAATGTAAATTAGTGTTATGTAATGTAAATTATGTAACATGTTGACTATTTTAAAGTTGTTTTTTACTAGCTTTCGCCCGTGACCCCGCCCATGTGGAATTACAAAAAACAAAAGTGAGTAGCCTATGTGTTCTTCCAGACTATCCTCTACATCTTTACCAAATTTCATCGAAATCTATTCAGCCGTTTAGGATAGAAACTCTAACATCCATCCATCCATCAACTTTCGCATTTATAATATTAGTATGACGTTTGTTATGGGAAAAACAATATAAAATAATACATTACCCAAAATCTTTATTTCTCTTTAAAAAACCCTTACAAACTACATATTTACAAACCGCATGCTGTTTTCACAAGTTAAAAATATCTCTACATACTATTTAACACAAATAAAATAAAAAAAATGTTGGTTTGTCACAGATAAAAAATGTACTACCTGAGCACAATAATCGTATAGACCTGACCTTTGCGAATAAACGGGATATTAAAAAAGCAATTACATACATATATTATTAAAAAAAATATTTATTAAACAAAAACTTTTATAAAATATTCGACAATACGTCATGTTTTTTTATAAAATAATGAAGTAGAAAAATATTATAATGGAGAGATATTAATCAATTTGTTCATGATTTTTTTTTTGACAATATATTTTTCAAATTAGGTTCTGTGATTATAAAAAAAAATGTAAATTAACCTAAAAAGATGACATGCACTTTAAACAATTAGTTTATGGTAAAAAAGTTCAACCACAGAAACAATAAACTGGCATATGTAAGATTTTTAATCTATGAACATTTTTACTGTTACAATCATTTACACATTTTTAAATCAAAAGATAGAACTTAATTATAAGAGAAAATAAATATTTATAACACAAAACACCACTTAAATTAATACTAAATAGAAATTACCTTATAAAATATTATTGCTGGCAACTAAAACAAAAGACAATAGCAATACTTTACAGATAATAAAAATTCTAAATATGGCAACATTTTCATGATTTAACCTAAAAACCGTTTGTTTGTTGTTTAAAAATTCAAGGTTTTATAAAAAAGTTTTATCCGATATTAAAAAAACATGAAACATTTTTTTAAAAAATCATTAACGGTAGGTTTCCATGGCCAAAATACTCAAACACATTGTTTCTTACTCGATTTTTATACATATGTGGGTGAAAAATAGGTTTATGTTAATAAAAATGAAAATTCAACCAAATAAATAAAATACTATGAAGATTAAAAAAACAATGGTTTTTTTCGGGAATTCCAAATTTAAAACTTTGATTTCTTGCAAATGATGTCATTAAATTTGCGTTGCATTTGCATTGCATTGTAATTAAGAAAAAAATATACCGTTATTAAAATGCAAGAAAACATTTAGAACGTTTAAAAATGGCAACTTTTTATACGATATTAAAAATTCTCCATGATACATAGTTTTAATTACTGATACACAATCATTTTTATAGTAAATGAACATTTACATAAACTTAAATATAAAAACTAAAGTGTTCTTAAAACTAAAATCACACTGTCATCTATCACTAACTTAAACCCGGTTTCTGATAACAATTTTAAATTATTTTTAATTTTCAATTAATTTTTCTTTAGCAAAGTTTAATTTGCGAAACTTGTTTAACTTTTGTTTCGATTACGACACATGTAAACAATATTCCCTTAGATTTTCTTTGAGGAAATATATAAAACAATTTGATAAAAAAAGTACCAGGGTAGCCTAAACTCAATTACACTGATCTTTATAAATGGATAGGTTAACATGCGTAGTATTTTGTGCCTGTGATTTACACAATTTTGACGTTCTTTACAATGATTGAAAATAAATAGATCGAAGCAGCTACAAATCCACAATAGCCTATCTATTCAGTATAGATCAATGTAGTTAAAATTAATGATAGGAATGTTAATTGACAACATTTTGATAATTTCATAAACCGGGTGTTTCTATATGTATTTTAAAAGTTTAATGATCTAGGTTTTAGTGCTGTATTCCTTAGGTACTGATGTGCTAGTACTGTTAGGTCCAACTGGTCTTGAGTCTTGCCGCACGCGTATATCTCCCATTTGTTATCATTATTCTGTCGAAAGTATTATATTAGAAAAAATCATAAAAAAAACACAAACATATAAACGTCCTTTTATCTTAAAAACTCCAAAAATTTTTATTGCATCATGTCAAAAAATCTCAAAAAATTTTTGTTGTATTTTTTATTTTTTAAATGTTTCCCGCAAGTTATTATTTGTATATTTTTTTTGTGACAGTTGTCACTGTTTGCCTTGAAGAGGCATTTACAGATTAACCGGGCTTGGTTATTTATATTCCACTCAGTAACATAATGTAGATTGAAAATTAAATTTTCATATCGTGTTCTATAACGCTAGTAGCGCCATCTAGTTTTTTAAGTTGCATTACAAAAAATACTTACCAATAAAAGCATAGGTTTTTCATCCGTTTCTGTTTCTACTGGCGCTTGATCGAACTTGATGGACCTCACCGCTGACTTTTTTACTACGATCGGCTCATCCGATAGACGTCGTATCTAACATAGGAAGTTTTTATTGTAAAAAAAATATCATTTATATTTATATTCAAATTCAAAGGAAAATGAGAATCTATAAATTACTAGCTTTTCTCCGTGACTTCTTCTGCACGGAAGTAGACAATAACTTAGTGTTCTTTCCGACTATCCTCCTACATGTATGCCAAATTTCATCAAGATTCGTTCAGCAGTTTATGCTACAAACTCTAACAAACATTGGATGGATGTTTTGGTGTTCAGTATAAACTTTTGCATCTATACTATTATAATAAAGCGTAAAGACACACTTCTTTGTTGCTTAAGATGTCAGAAATTACAACATATTTTTGAATAATTCTTTTTTTAATAAAAAGCCCTATACTTACGTCATGCTTTAGGCTATGTATTTTCACGCCATTAAACTTAGGGGGTCAATATTTTTGATAAAAACCCTAATGTGTAAAAGAGACCATAAGTTGCTGCCAACATCAAGAAAGATTGCTAAGGTTTGTGATGTTATGTCATTTTGACATTTGCTATTGATAATTTGACAAATGTAAACAATGAAATAAAATTTTCATAATTTCATGCGGATGAAGCCGCACGGGAACAGCTAGTTTGTAATAATAGTAAGAAATAAGATAATTAAATATATCTAACATCAAAGAAATAATATATTTAAACAATTCCATCTTATAAAAACATATTTGTACAGTCAACCTATACTAATATAATAAAGCGTAAACACACACACAATTTGTGACGTAGGATGTCAACAATTACAGGATATTTTTGTATAATTCTTCCTTTAGGTGAAATCTGACTACCAATTATAGAGTATAGAATCATTATATATTGTTTCTAGCATTCCATAAAACCTAAGTTTATTTTGTGTTTTAGAACTCAAGCAACATAATTTCTAACTTTTCCATAAAAACACGTAAAAAACGCTTTAATTAAATTTGTTAATATATTTGTAATAATTGAATAAAAATACTTTACATATAAGACTGTACAAAAATTCTATACTAGGTATTGCTCCAGACTTCATCCGCGTAAAATTAATAAATACCAAAATATAGCCTACGTTACTCAAAGATAACTGATTTTTTAAAATGGTGAAACAATTTTAGAAATCGACCCAGTAGTTTTTGAGTTATTTCAATACATACAAAAATACAAATCTTTATAATATTAGTATAGATTACCTGATTCTTATTTCGGGTAATAAAAATCCGTGTGTAGTTTTAGGTAGAAAAATAAATCAAAACTCACATGAAAAGATACATTTATTGAAATAAAAAATGACATTGGACCATTTTTGGATTGGATATTGGAAATACAAACAATATTGACAGTGACTCTAAAACTACAAATAAAAAACACAAATCGTTCACAAAATTGTGCGCCGTAAACTACAGCTACGGAATAAATTAAAACAATTTAAAAAAAAAAACATAAATTAGTAACAAAAACAATTAACAAGATAAATAAATAATGTTTCTTAAATAAGGAAAAAATAGATTCAACACTGGCCTGTCAATATTGTGAAAGGAAAGGAAAAAAATGGATTCAATTTTTTTTTAAGGATATACAAAAAATGGGGGAAAAGGAATGTCATTTTATTATTTCAAATAATGTAAACTTAAGTATAGCCGCCGTATTAAAATTGTTTATAGTTTTAGCAAAGAAAAAAAAGTTAATAAAATAAATAGTTCGTAATTACATTACAAAATCCACAACCGATTCGACTGAAATGTCAAGTTTTAGTTATGATTATTCTGTTAGTTAACACGCAAAATTACAAAGCGATTAAGTTTTTTTTTAATATTAAATAAAAGGATAGGGATGGGACACCTAAAAGGAAAACCGTCCGAATTATTTGCGACATTTTAAATTAGCCGTGTAACCCTAAAGAGTAATACTTGAATTCCCTTAATTATTTTTTATACCTAGTAACACTAAAACAATTTGGTGCTTGGTAAACTTGAGGTAAAATTCATTTGCATAACCTAACCTAAGTTATAAAAACTAGCGAAATTGTGATTTATCGTAATATATTAAGAAATCATAATGAACATTCATTTGATGAAAAATCCATCTTTGGTGACTTAATCTATAATAAACTAAAAGTTATTTTGGTGCGATTAACTTAAATTAAAGTTTAAAAAAAATCGTAACCCAAGTTACAAAAAATCTATACTAATTTTGCCCCGCAAATCTTATTTACTTATCTCGTATTTGACAAAATAACATCGAAACCGCTTGTAAAGTTACAAAATTAAATTCGAAATACTTATAAAATACACGAATTATTAGATTTAAAAACGTCTAAACTATCAAAAGCGTAACAACTTATTAACTAAGGAAAATACGTAATTCAGACTTTAAAATCGAAATTAATGTAATTTTTCGGTTTACTAATCTTTAATCCAGCGTAAAGAAGCAAAATATAGTCATCTCTTTTATTCATTAGGAAATTTCATTACGATAAAAAGAGATAGAAATATGTTTAATTCATACTCTGTCACTGTACGTCACTCAATATTAGTCTTTTTACCGCTTACAATAAAGTTTATTATTTTCGATAATAAACCAATTAACGAATTTCTAGACTCTTTTAGCACATCTAATTTAAACTGATAGTCAAAATTAAGTAAATATTAATTTTCATTGTGAAGAAGTTTTTTTATTAAAAATTATAATAATCACTTGAAAATATATCCTCATTCCCTGAATCTTTATCTTGCCACCATTCCTTTTGGTCATTTTTACTCATTTTATTGGTTAGTATTTCATCAATTTTCATACTAGAAGGTTTTTGGTTCGTCACTTTATATATATGATCAACTAAAGCGTTTGTTAATACTTCTTTAGGCGCTATTAAGTTGCTATCGCATGCTAATTCGTTAGACGAAGTAATCGTTCTGAGTCTCTCCGCGTTAAGTCGTGCGAAAGTTCTAGGTGATTCTAGATTAGTGATGTTCTTGAATACCTGGGGATTAGGGTTATTGTAGGTGTAGTAGGTGTTAGGGATGGACCGGTGTTGTACCTTAGTTTTTTCAGTGATGACAGACTCAATGTCCATGTCTTGGTATTTGTTGTCCGGAGTGTCGCTCATGAGGCTGTGTAAACTGCTGGACTCCTGTAGAGAGTTCTTCACTATCGACGGCGGAGAGAACAGAACGGAACTATCTCCCGCTAACGTTTTACTCTGAAACAAATTGTTTTAATAAGTCATCGATACAGTGTAAACGTAACGTCCGTCGATTTAACGACAAACTCCTTAAAGCGTCGAAAACAATTGGTTTTAGTTGGTTTAACTTGTCTTCCATACAATTATATACTCTATATAACGATCACATATAAGTAATAAAAAGTACCTTTAAAGTTGCTAAAATAAAAACTGCGTACTACGTTGTTTTATCCGTTATCGCCAAGATGTCTCAATATTGCAAGACATGAATAAAATAAGTTAAAAAAAGTACAAAATATAAACTATTTTGTACTTTTTGGTGGAGCAAAAAAACGTCAGACGAAACTAACAGACTATACGCAATAACGTTCAAATAATGTTTTTTATATACGTAACAACTAAATTTTCTTATCTCCATTTAACGACAACTCTCTATAACGCCATAAAAGTTTCGTTATATAGATTTTACACTGTATATGTGTTTGATATTATTCGTGAAAAGCAAATGTGTGACATTAACGTATGTTCTGTATGAGTCTTTATAGACCTTTAAATGATAAATAGACGAGACACAGCGAACTATATTTTTTCACTTGTATTTGCTCTGAACTATCTCAGTGTCAAATTTAGTGTCATCTCGTGTCTGTATTGACATGGAACAAAATATTTCATAAAACATTTATATGAATACACACACCAGTGATAGATAAAAACGATTTGTCATTTATTAATATCTTTATTGCATACTAGCTTTCGCTTGCGACTCCGTTCGCGTGGATTAAAAAAGTAAGTAGGTCTATGTGTTCTTCCAGACTATCCACTGTTCTGTTCCGACGTTTCGTCTACAAATTCTAACAAACATCCATCTATCCATCTAAACATTCACCAACAAAGATTAGATTCTAACAACGATTTTTAGAATTACTTCATGACACTTATTGACAATTTTATAATTTAAATATTTATCAACAGATAGCTTTAGCGATGATTATGTGAGAAATGTTTCAAGAGATGTGTCAACTATGTCTCCTCTGTATGTTTTTCAAACCTTTGGCTGGTGATGACGTCATGTTACCGATTACATACTCTATGTCTCCACGGTGTACGAGAAGTCTGGTACTAGCGGATGCGGAGCAGGTACGGTGCGGCGTATGCGGTGTGCGGTGTGCGGTGTGCGGTATGCGGTGTGCAGCGTGCAGTGTAAGTACGGCGCAGCTATCGATGTGCGGTGTGCGGAGTAGGTG